TCACTTATTTTTTTATTTGTTTGTTTGTTTTTCATAAATCACTTCTAAATTCGGGACTTTGAACTCACTGAATTAGTAATTTTCTCCTGAGGATCTTTTTAAAGGCTGTCATTTTTCAATCAACATCACAGATCCTTTTCTTTCATTTTATCATCTGAAATCTAAGACAAAGAAATCTCCAATGTGTAAAAGATAAATACATTTTGATGAATGTTCTGAGTTTTACCAAACCCAGTGTATGCTCTAAATTATAAAATTAGTGGTAGGATTATATCAGTTGATATATACATTTACTCAGCCAAAGCTATTTAATAAATATACTGATCAATCGTTAGTTTATACAGTTTTTAAAAATAGAATGATGCATCTTATGGATAAATCGGCTTATAATGAGTACATCTCACCATTTATTTCTAGAATATTTCCTTACGGTACCTTTGTTATGTACAGGGAAATCAAATGGGTAGAAAATAAGTAGGTAATATTGACCAACGCAGGCCTCATAAAAAATAGTAAGATTTCAACCTCTTTGAGTCCATAGTTCTGCAAGGACACATACAAACAGGCAAAATGGCACTGCAAATGCAACTTTGCACTCTGAAGTAGGAGTCTGAATGTTGTTGCTGTTATTAGATATTGTCAAGTTGGTTCCCACTCATAGAAACCCTATGCACAACAGGTCCTCCATCCTCAGAATCTTAATCGTATGTTTGAGCCCATTGTTGCAGCCCCTGTGTCAACCCATCTCAATGAGGGTCTTCCTAGAGAGTCAGAGATTAATCTGCGAGTATTTTTGTTTATGTTTCTTATGTACCACATACTGGGCTACTGCTGTAAATGAAGACCAGAAAACCATTGAAAGATATTACAAGGATTCTTCTGCTCACCTGAGCTCCTTCAGGAGGTGGGAGACGACAGCCGAATATGGGCAGGACAGGAGCGCCACATTCTTGACAGAAGCGAGCAAAGGGGTCAGATGGGCGAGGGGCCAAGCAGTGAGCACATCTACAACAAAACAGTTTCCTGATTGACCATGTTTTATTGGGTCCCCATTGGTAAGACTAGTGAAAGGCTGAAAGTACTCAAATATTGTTAGCACAAAGCAAAAAGCAGACCACTCACTAAAACTATGGAACAAGTTTAAGATAGGAGACACTTTTCTAGGTTCTTTCTCTATAGAAGAGCCTAACAGCTGAGACCAGGTGTGCTCAGAGTCTGTAGTCTGGGCCATTCCCACTTCTTAACCAGAGTGGAAGGACTATAGCAGCGGTTCTCAACCTGTGGGTAATGACCCCTTTGGGAGGACAAATGACCCTTTCACAGGGGTCACCCGATTCATAACAGTAGCAAAATTACAGTTAAGTAGTAGCAATGAAAATAATTTTATGGCTGGAGGGTCATCACAACATGAGGAACTACATTAAAGGGTCGCGGCATTAGGAAGGTTGAGAGCCACTGGTCTATAGGAACCCTTAAGCCTATGTCCTAGTGGGGCTCTGGGCCATGCTATCATGAGTCATTCTGCCTACCATTCTACAGGTACAGGTTCTAGGCACCAGTGCTACAGATTTTATATATATATATATACTGTATAGGATTAACAACTGATTATGCATGGTAGAATTAAAGAAGATTAGGCACCAGTGCTACAGATTTTATATATATATATATATATATATACTGTATGGGATTAACAACTGATTATGCATGGTAGAATTAAAGAAGATTAGTAAACCTGAATGAAGCTCAACAGTAGAAACTATTCAAAATGTAACTGATAGAAACAGACTAGAAATAAATAAATAGAGCACAAGCAAGCTGTGGGAAAACTTCAAGCAGCTTAATATGCAAGTGACTCAAGTCCGTGAGGAAGAAGAGAAAGCAATGAGAACAGAAAAATATGAGGATAAGCCAAAAAGTACAGCTATGAAGTCACAGAAACCATTATTAAGCAAATATAACAAAATGTAAAGCTATTGTTTCTTACCATATCCTCCATATAGGTCTATACACGTCTGAGAGAAGTCTTTCCGTTTCTTTAACCCTTGCCAAAAGAATGCTGCACTTTTCAATTTACATCACGTTAAAATGGCGATTTACTCATCCTCAAGAGACTCAAATTGCATTCCTTTGAAATGTTTTTATGAGTTTTAGGAACAAAAAGTCTGAAGGAGCAAGATCAGGGCTGGAGGATGAAGGCAGCAAGGTTTCCTTAAAGGACAGCCCTGGCTTCCCTCAAAGAATGAGCAAGCACATTGCTGTGATGGGGGAATATTCCTTGGTGCAACTTTCCTGACTTTTCTCTCACCAATGCACTGCTCCATTTTCTTTAAAGTTCTTCCTAATAAACTCCCATGAGCCCAATTCAAAAAATCAGAAAGCAACAAGTGCTGGAGGGGCTGTTGGGAGACAAGAACGCTCATCCAGTGCTGTTAGACCTGTAAGTATGTACAGCCACTATGGAAATCGATCTGGCGATATCTAAAACAGATGGAAATCGAGTTACCATATGACCCAGCAATCCCCCTACTGGGCATCTACCCAGAAGAGGCAAGAAACAAACCA